AAGTTTCAACGGTTCTTTTCCCGGCGGCATTATTACGTTTCGCTATAATTTGTGTAAGCGTCAACATTTTCCTTAGCATTGTAGGTTTATGTTGGAATGAAACACTAAAAATCGATTTATAACACGCGGTACCTTCTGCTAGATCGATTACTATTATGTCTGGGTACGCGTTGATTCTTGAGGGCTCAGCACATGCAGTCTTCTTATTGACCGAAATCAGGACTTGCTGACCAATTTGGATGCTACAGTTTTACCAAAAAGCCAATCTATGCTTATTTGTTAATTCAGCAAATAATATAGTATAGTTCAACCATATCCCGGTAGTGCTTACCACATGAATCGTCTCGGCAGCAGTCATGAGCATATTAATGATATGAGATTTTGCCTGTGGGAAACAGGTCATAGCAGGTATTTCATATTAAACTTATCGTTACTGTTTGTCGATTAATTATTCATGATGACGTCGTCCACCGTATCTCCTGATCTATTTATAGCTAGTCAAACCCAATTGGTCTCGAAATCAGCCTGAGAATCCCTTCATGACCGTGTCAGCATAGCAAACATCATCGTCGTCGAACATTGCGCCCATGCTGCTCTCAAATATTTATACATAGAGAGAACTATAATATACAGCGTGTTCCAAATTTCCCACCAAAACAAGGTATACACCAGAGAAGAAGAGGTTCCCAAATGGAGAATTTAAGGGTTTGATGGATGGGTTTGGGCCTGACAGAAATAGTCCCTCAGTGCACAGACAGAATGATGCTTGAAAGAGGGTAGCAGGTTCATGGTGTTCACAACCAGGAGTGCACGTTATTTTATGCAGAGGTTTTCACATACCTCTGCGGTTTTTGGTTTGGATGCAAAAGTATGTCTATTAATTCAAGAAACAAGCAAAACAGTTTTTACATTACCTACAGTGGACTTTTAGAGCAAAGGTGTGTCTCACAAGCTTACTACAGCTTATTTACCGTTTATTATTATATGCAGTCTTACAAGTCCTATTACAGCTGCATAGCGATTCCGAAGCTGGCGACTCGTTCTACGTGAAATGAAACCTCAACACATCTCGATGAAAGATGCTGCTACGGTAGTTCTCACTTAGAGGTTATCAAAAGCATCGCATACGCAGCCTTTTTTCCACCACATTACTGTAATTATTCCGAAGAAAATTTGGCCTTTTTGGATCATGGGGTCTTTCGCACCTGGATACAGCTGATAAACAATGCGTTAGCCTAAACAGAACAGCGACATAGCGTAAATATATCTCTTGTACGGCAGTACTATATTTGTAAAGGCCCCTAAAGTCAGTGATAAAGCGAGTGAAGGAAGGAAGGAAGGAAGGAAGAAAAGAGCTAGGCGCAAGGAGCAGTCTGATCGAGTCCAATGTGCTCAGAGTACGCGGTATGAGTGGAATAACGGTAAGCCCTTCTACTATGGCGACGATAGCATATCCCTCCAACATATTAACGAAGTGATGATGACAGTAATACAAAGCTATACTGTTTTGCTAAAGCTAGTACCGTGCTTGAATTGAAGCGGAATTTTCTCATGAAACGAATCCGATTGCCAAAAAAATAATAAAAAGGTTGATGAGGGCATACAAAGATAGTCAACCAACTATGTTTAGAAATTAGGTTCCTCAAACTATTCCAAAAGGAAATGAGCTTACAGAAGCACACAGACGAGAGCACGAGAAGGAGATTGGCACCTAGGTATCTATAGAAAATATCAGATTAGACCAAATTCGATGGGTTAATCACGACATACAAAACAAGGAAAACATGACGAATCTTGCAGATATGTACAAGGTCATTGTTTGAAATCTTGCAACGAAAACGACGTGCCAGCATGTTGAGGATGCACTGAACTAGTGGCCCGGCATGGCAGGACACATAGAGATAGATGCGCCCATATGAGAAGCTAAAGAAAAATTGTCAGTGTTGAATCGGTGCTTGAGACTCGACTGTTACCGGTCGGCTGCTAAACGTAAAGTGGTTATTCATGGGCTGGTTTTCATACCCAGCCTTGGAGTAAGTTTTACTGCCATAATACCTAGGTATTATGGCAGTAAAACTTACTCCAAGAAACTAGGTATGCTGCTAGAAACTGCCGAAATCAAGTGGTAGAGGAAGGAAGGTGCCACAAGTGTGGCACCCTTGGTCATGTCGCAAACAGTAGCGGTGCCACGCCAATTTGCTGCAGTTGCGGCATAACCAGGCACGGGGCAGACAGGATCCAAATAGACGAAACGACATGGCGTCGCTTACCATTTGAATCGAACACGCTTACAGCGGCAGCTACAGAATTCTAGGGGCCTGCAGAAGCCACTTCTGCAAAACGACTGAAGAAAAAGAAATGATGCATGAACGTCAAATACATGAGAGCGCCTACACAGTGGCCTTTAACCGTATTAGCAAAAAGGGTGAAGACATATTGATCAACAGGAGGAGACAAGCGTCTTCTCCAGCTACTGCGGAACGCTGGCAATAACATTGGCTCCACTTAAAATTATCCAAGTAAGTTGCGATCAAAGCAGAATTGCTAACGTTCCGCTCGATGCCATGGCTAACAAATGTCAAGCGGCGCTCTGCCTTATAGGTGGTCTGAACATTATCTAAAAAGAAAAGCTACCATTGCGATAGCAATCCAAATAGTTTGGTCAAGGAGGGTTGTGATTCTTCTAAACAGTACTACCGTTTCAGCGCGGTATCACTAGAGGATGCTAATAATTTTTTCGTGGAATCACCAGGTTACTTCAAACACGTGGAGTGTCGGGAGGAGTAACCAAGTGGGACAGATGCTAACGGAATGAATAGCCACTAATGATTCTATAATCTTCAGTAAGAGATATTCCTATATTTATGTGGAGTGAACATGAATCTTGCGTTGACGCGACTGTCTGCCGCTCTATATTCGCTAAGAGGATAGCTAGATAGCAAGTTCTCGACGAGTAAAAGGACTTCAATGACGATCGCTTAATTGAATAAGAAATGGAAGTTAGCACACAGACGAGGCCCAAGGCGCTGAAGTGACTATAGCGGATTAAAATACGAGGTGGCGGTGCACTCAAAGAAAAATATGTTAAAAGGAAAGAGGCATCTAAAAAGCACAGCCGATCTTTAGACCCTTTTGGCAAAGAGTTGTGTATAAGCTGCAGCGCCCTCTATTCATCTCAAAAAGCAGCGGTCTATATGCAAAAATAGTGGAGCGTGAAGATCAAGCTAGGTGGACACGAATAAAAATTTTTAAATTGAATGTTATCAATCACGTAATTTAGAGCCAGGAAATATTTATTATTACATATCTACGGATCTTGAACAGAACTTGATCAATGTTATAATTTATTTGTGGATTTTTTTATTTATTTATTTTTATTTATGTATACAATTTATTATTATCTGAAGCACTAGGTGCCACCAATCTCCGGGGATTTAGTTGCGCGTTGCTTGGTTTAAATAATAGGATATAACGTTACCATTGTTTTGCTCATTTTGAGTAATTAAGGCAATCACTCGCGATTTTTGCTTGAAGCCGTATTCCATCTGATGAATTCTACTTATAATTGAAACATCGAAGTAATGAAATTCAATTGTTTTTTTCAATTATATACACGGATGCATACGTATGGAAAACGTAGATAGAGAACGCATAGTTTTTACAGGGCGAAGTAGCAGCTGTACTATTCAAATAAGGCTATCGCAATATTAATTTACCGTTTTCGCAACATGCTATAAATGACAATGTGATTATGGCTGTACCATGTACGGTGACGAATTCAGCCGTTCTGTCAATATAATCTGTCAGTATTTTGTCTCTTAATGAGCCACCCATTCGTCATCGCTCTCAATCAAGACCATTACTCTTAGGCAAGGGACCAAATCGTAAACCCTCAGACGCAGCCATGGACAGCTCTTTCAATTTGTGTGCTTACTGTTGAGTCTGGTTGTAGAGGGTTGAATAAAACCTCTATAAATTATATAGGCCAATGCCTGGTTACGCATAAGTCTTGTTTGTTTAGAATATAAAAAATAGTTTAAAACATGTGAATAAGATGCAGCAGTTAGGCGGAAAATTTAGCTTGCATCTGTAATTTTTCTCTTCTATAGTCCTTTTCTTAATCCTTGTATACTGACGCTGATTTTTAATTCCCTTATTCAATAAAGGGGCGTTTCTCTTCCGCCTCGTTGTCCCCTAAATCCACGACTGTCAATAATAGATTAACAACGACTATTCCTGTATGTACAAAATAAGATTGACTTTGCTTTTAATTGTAGCAGTTATTAGTTTCGTCTTTGTATCCTGAGGATGCTTTTTAGTCAAATCAATCCTGAATAACTATTAGAAAAGCCGACAAATTATGCAAGTCAATATTTTCCAATCACACCTCACGAATCAAAGAATATCGCGTCCCAGAATTGATTATTAAGCAAAGAATTTTATATTTCCACGTTATTCTGAGAATGGGCTGATACAGACTATGTATTTTAGTGGACAATTGACTGTTTGTAGAGAAAATTACCAAAGAGTAACTTTTTGTTCAACAGAAAACGCTTGTAGCATTAGGACGGATAATATTAGGTTGGCTGCATAAAATTCGATTCAGCACAGTTACCGAATACAGCACAGATACCGAAGTTACTGAAACAGAAAGTTTACTCAGTTATGGAAAAGAGTCTTCACATTATCAAGAATAAATAAGGCCTTTTACTGCCAATGACGTTTAAGTCCTTGCGTTTCACCACCGAACCAATATAGTACCTATATCTTAGGATGCTTTACTGCCATAGAAGTCATACCAGATACCCTTTAAGGCAGGTGGCAACGCAGTGCATCACATTTAGGCGTGACAATGATTCAGTAACTATCACGAAACAATTATGTCGACGGTCGCTATTTTTTGCATAACGTTCAGATATAACACACGGTGGTTGATTGCACCTAATTAACTTCAAATACTTGTTTACGCCTCTGAATAAACACAACAACAATGTTAAATACTCAACTCATACGCAAACCATTTATTTTACGTATCAAGCCTAGTAATATTTCAATTGGTATCATTAACTATTGGTATCTTATTTATTTACACTTTACAATGAACTTTAATGAGTTACATCATTTGCTTCGATTTACAATAGCATAGAGTGCTGTACTTAGCTATGGTAATATTCATTCTACAATATATGTACCGCACTACAATTAATCATTACTTGTTATTATATTAATATCATTTAATGTATTATGGTATATTCTTGCAGATTCCACTTTTGAAATCTGTGTTATTTATACAAATTTTTGTCTAAACCACAGTTATGTCGATGGCATACAAAAAAATGTCGTTGGCTTTGAACATGGCGTTATCGTAATATAATTACTATTCATTTTATTACTACTATAAATTACTACGGGATGTTATCGCACCGTGCACTTCATTCTCGTTGGCAATTAGAAAAGTTTACGCCTGCAATACTAAGTGATTATAATAGTACATACCAATTGTATCGTAATATGATCGTCACATAGACGAATAGAGAAACACGTTCTTAATCATCGATTACGCGTAGAATTATACTACAGTTAGTAGTCAGGTGTTACTATTATTACTTATCAGGTGTCATAGTCATGAGGTGTAAGTCTCATAATGGCGACAGTCAAACCGCACTGGCATAGTTGTACTTAGAACGTAGCATTCGTCTTTTCCCTACCGGAAGTTTGTTGCTTCGCCAATCCCAAGAAAAAGGCCTTCCGACTGGACAACAGGGACACGACATTTTTGTATCCCTCCTAAAAATTGGAATACGAGGGATACTGACTTTATTCGTTCTATTCCATCATTGTTATCGTCATGGCCATATATTCTTGTTTCCCTTTTCCATCACCACCAATAATAAGTATATCCTTGTGGTAGCTGAGTCACGCACAACTGTATAGTGGCTTTGGAAACAGTGTCGCCATTACCTCACTGGTTGGTGGGAAGTGAGTGGGCTTCTGCAAACCAAAGCCTCGCTCAATTCGACTCACCAAGCATCGCTTGGCGCTGTACGGTTCCACCATCTCGAAGCTGTGAAATCAGTACTAGTAGAAATAGTTGTAACAGTACACGTATATAAATTTGACCGTCTGATGCGATACTTCAAAACCAATGCAACCAGTAAGAAGTATATTCTCATTCAATTCATTGTTCGTATGTTTCTATCTAAGGTACATATCTGGTTAAATTCTCAAGGTAAAGTGTCCGACGCATACTTGACCTGTTTATGGGTGCATCTTCCCTATAAGATATTCGAGCTATATTAGGCTCTCGCACTAGCTAGATGTTTGATCAGAAAAAGGTCGGTGTCTCCATTTGAATTATAACTGAAAGGACAAGCGTACCTCACAATTGTTTATGTTGATAATGGATGCAATAATGCCCGTATTCTGAGCTATCTTTGTTTTACGATTTTTTAGATAACCGTTGTTGGCTTTTCGCCGTTGTTATAAAAGGCGACAAGGTTCGTACTTCGAAAGACAGAATTTGACTTTTTTGTGAAGGATCCTCTTCAAGAACGTCCTCATATTTCAAAACATACATCTATTTAGAGGGACTCGAATCGTATTGCACTGAGAAATTTGAAATTATTCCCCGACATGTATTTAGAGGAGTCGCTTCAAAGATGCAGCAGCTTGGCAAGATAACCTTCGTTTCGTAAGATCCACTAGTATAGCTCAAAATAAAATTCAGTACTACCAGTTTCCTTTCTGTCTAGGGTGAAGATCTTTCATCAGCAATTACTCACATTATCAGTGACCAACAATAACGATAACAGCAACGCCCGCACATTTTAGTATGGCAAAATAATAAAATAACTTAAGGGGCTTACTAATAAGCTGGTACCGTATGTCTCGAACTTGCGTTTGCCCAACATATAGCACCCACGGCTTTCATTGTCACTTTTCTATCTCACATAAAAACACGGAGTTGATTTGATATTTTCAATAATAACCTTAACTATTGCTGCCAGGATACTTTTTTTATAACTTCAGCTTTCTCTTATCGCCTTGTTTACACGAGCAGCATCTATCAATTAGAGTCATCTATCAGAGCCAGCACCCATCTATCTCAAAGACAAAGCGATTTGATATTAATCATTCAGCAAAAAAACATTGTTGACATGCGCACTTTGATTACCAATACCAAGCTGAAATCTTCCGCGAAGAAACATTATTCGTCTACCTTTGGTAGATCGAATCCAAAAAGTTGGGGATGCACTACGTGCAAAAGAAGTGGCCTCAAAGAGCAGACGAACAATGACTAGCTGAACGATGAGTTTAGCGAACCCTGATCGTTACTTTGATTTCTCACTATTGATTAAACTGAACGACGCCATCTCTAATCTGGGTAATGATATTCATCTATCAATGACCTTAGACGATCCGAAAAAACTGAGAAAAAATCATACATTTTTTTGTCTAAGCGCAGCTGACAACTTGAACTCTTCCATTTGACCTGGAATTTGCATGGGCCATTATGATCATTTATTATTTATCTTCATGATGATTATGAACGAAGGTATGAAGTAGCTATGATTAACAGTCTGGGCAGCAGCACAGCGCTTTCTTATGAACATCTTTTTCTCGGCGCATCTGATCAACAAGTTAACATTCAACTATGGGACAACCAGCGCCATAAAATAACACTTAATATAAATCACGAACCAACATAAGACACAAGGAAAAGTGCCTAAAACAATAGTATAAAAGATCGCGTAATCAACTTTTTTTATTTCTTTAACATATTAAGCCACAACAATGAACGCCCTTATCCTATTAACTCTGTCATCATCAGAGGAACGCACTTAAATGATTCGTAGTCACTGCACTAAAATAGCGAATTTTGACAGCAACGCTTAACCCATACTCCATTTTTGAAACGTTACTGTGGACCTGACAACGCTGCGTCCATGTACAAACACTGGCCCTCTCAAGTACACACATCTCTCTAACTTCTGCTGTGCAAACAGCCACACGCACCTACATTACTCTATATCCACCTCATCTCCCTTCCTCTTTCTAAATAAATATGTATGCATATATATTCTATGGCTGCAATGCTAATACTCATAGATAGGGAAGACTCATTTCACTAAGCTATAAGGAGACTTATCATAGCACCTCTGAATAAGTAAGTGTCTGAAAGCATCATCACCCTTGAGCTAGATATCCCGTTCCTTATCGTCTTATCGTAATTCCTCCTGCATATTTTCGTCGTTCTTCAATAACGATTATATTTACTGTTTGAAAAAAACTATTGCTGGCTCTTGTAGATCGGGTTGCGATTCCGTATGGGCAATGGATGAGCTTCTGTGTTAAACACCCATTCATCCAGCGGTAACAAATCATCTTCAGAGAATAGTAAATAGAGGTACTTGAGTGTTTCAGCCAAGAAGAAGCTCTGCTGAACGTCGTCCTTTGCTGCACGCCGATTATAGACGTCTTTAATTCCGGTGTAGCCTCCCTCGACGCGACAATACTTTTCAATCGCTTGAACGGCCTCCCAACCCCAATCGCGATACCGACGATCTTTAGTAAGTCGCCAGAGATAGAAATACGATTCAATGACCTCCGGTCGAAGGATATAGTATTTGTCTTGGAACCTGATCGCTTTTGCGTCGCCCGCCTTGATGCTGAATCGGAACGACTCGGGGCCAAGACCAGTATCCGACCTATTATATGACTCATGACACGTGCTTGTCAATTCAGCGCCGATTTTCATATATCTGAAAAAATATACGGAAGAAGCCAAATGAAGAAAGACTAATTTGCACGGCCGACGACACTGATATGTGTCCGTAAGTCTAGTGTTTATAGGAAGGAGTACAAATATTTTTGGTAGCGGTTAAAAGTGCTTGTTCCATTGAACGTATTTGATCTGGATCCAATGGAAACTGTTACTGTCTAAGGCAATGGTCTCATGACATCATCCTGGCTAAACAAAGCAGCTGGGCCCGCATATCTATAGAAAGAACTTAATTTCGTCATAGCTAATCAGTGAAAGAATAGAGATTTTTTCGTATTACCATACCGTATACCTTATTTCCTCGTGCTCTGTGGCTTTTACCTGTCAGCGCGGTCCTCAAAATAGGTAGAGGCAAGGCCAAACAGGCCGCCGGCAAAACATGTCAGATGATCCATTTTCGCATCATTTTTTCCATAACGCATTTCACTGATGTAAAGTAATTTGTCTCTCTCAGAGCGCTTTAGCAGGTGTTGCTCTACGGCGTCCATTGCGGATAGAAACATCTCTTTGGCTTGAGCGTCTTCCCCATCGGTTTGCATGTACGCCTTGAGCAGATACTCATAGAAGCTGTCGCCTAGCGCACCCAATGAGATATGGTCTAGTGGCAAAAAAACAAACATGATTCGCTTTAATCGATCTCAACGTGCTGTGACACTGTAATTGTATGTTCAACTGAGCTATGTGTGTTATGATGTGCGGAACTTCAGTGCCTTCGTTTTTACGTACCTTGCCCCCATACACCAGTTTTCGGATGCAGGTAGTTCGGGTAAAGGCCGTCAGTTCGTTTAACCTCGTAGAGTTTCTGTCGAACCTTTGTGACCTTTTCACGAAAAACAGGTTTTCCTGTCACCTCGCTTAGATAGTCAAACTCCAGCTGCATCGTTCCAAACTCAGCCAAAATGGAACAGCCCCCCGAGGACCAACCGTAGTTCTTTGCCTTTTGCCTGCGGATTTAATTATGGTTAGTATCATGTTGGTTCCTAGTCTGCAGCTACAGAATAAACAACGCTTTTGTACTTGTGAAGAAAATCTCCATTTCCTGGAAGTCCTGTCCCTTGGCCTTTGGCCTCTATTATCACTTTGATCATGAGAAATCTACAGGAAAAAAACCAGCGAACAAGGGAAAGGAGTGATCTCATATCGACTAAAATTCCACCACAATACAGATTAACACTATACTTACGTCTTCGGTACGACGAGAGCATAGGGAATTCCAGTAGGAGTTCTGAAGGCAGGAAGAAGAGCTGTTGCAATCTCGTCCGCTTTTCGTTTGAACATCTGCATAGTCATACATACATATACATATATATGAGGTACGTACAGTACCTTCCCAGAAACCATTTTCCCTTCATTGACTGCTTCAACCCTCCACATAGAAAATGGTATTTGAGAAGGCATTGTATTAACCTCATCAGAAACATAACTATACAGCCTCCTCAGCCACTAGGGAAGAAAAAAATTTCATTAAACACTGTCCCCATTTTCCTGCGGTGCAGCCAGTATACAACAGAAGATGCACTCGGGTCTGGCTTTAACGCTGTACCACCATATTGTATTTTATTCGAGCTGCGATAACTGACTTTAGCCTAGAAGGCAGTGCGTCGTAAATTGAGCAATATAGTAATTGGTACCATTTGTGGCTTGCTTGCGCAATTAATTAAGAAGCTGTGACCATGTGCGCAATGTAGTTGTCAAGTGGTGTAAGCTTATTTCCGACGAAACTGTACCGACCGAGTAGAGATAATAGGCATAATCAGTTAATTAATAAAAATACGATAATTCTATTTATATCTAAGTGCTATTATGCTTAACAAAAATACGTCGTTCTGATAGTGAACGATGCGATTTTTTTAACGAAACTGATGACGATGATAATTCATGCAGAATCTTGCATCTTCAGGAGTTTCGAAACCTAATCTATTAACAGCGGTATTCTAAGTAACACTTTTTTGACTAATTTTTAGACACTTTTTTTTATTTCGACAGATAATAAAGTATATGTAATGAAAAATAATTATTTTCGCATTCAAAATATCCTATCGCTTTCATCTTAAATAACCTACAATACTCTAAGCAGTTGAACGCAATATTTTTTATCCGTATTACAGCACTGTACCTATTGAGATCAAACGTTCATTACGACAGATTCATCGACCCGATTGCTGCGAAAGTTTACGAAAGTTATACGCCTGATACCGTGACAAACTGCAATATAAAACCTTAAGCTTGTAACGATATATATGGTTAGCGTTGCAGGAAGCGTTGGCTTGAAGCTAGAGAATACGTATTTAAAGAAAGGCTAGTACAAGTCGTCAATGATGATCGGAATTAGAACATTAACGCCATGACGTCGTGCTGATGATTAGAATTGGCAATGTGTATGTTCAGTATCAATTAAATAGACTGCTTAAATAACTTGTGAGTATTAACGATCGAGCAGACTGTGCACATGTCATCTGTAACCTGTACGAAAAATCAGTTCAAGTTGATGGTCAGCTTGATGACTACTATTGGGTAAGCCGCACGAGGAAAGGGCATGAGCATCAGGCGTAGTGCACCAAAGTCTAAGGCCTTTCTTCCTAAGGTCCTAACACTTCTTACAACGCTAACCAAAGATATTGTTATAAGCTATACTACTACCGTGTCTAATGGTGTTGCAAAAGGTTGAGCAGGTGAAAGAAGTATGTACTATAATGTGTTTGATGAGTCCATATATGATACAAGTGAAGATTGCATTTTCGGTAGATAAATAACTTGCTGAGTAATGAAACAGTGAAAAGTATATCACCATTACTCGAAATCCAAAAAAAAGTTTTCCTCAGAGACCGCCTGCTGAGGCTTTCTGCATCTTGAAAAACGCAATAAATTACTCATGGTAATTTCACATAGAGCAGTGTAATGGCACGAGAGCTGAATAGATTCGCCGGAAGGGTTTTATTGAGCTGCAAACCGATTAAATAATAATTTTTTTAAGGATAGTTGACGTTTCTAAACCGAATCAGAAACCACACTAGTATCAAAGCTACCACGTTCTCGAGATATTTATCTTTATTCACAATGACGCGTTTCACGCAAACATGCTCTATCTGATCTTCGTGAGGGCCAATCTACTAGTGCAAAACTTGCATGAGCATCTGCAAATCAACAAACGGTTTGGATTTCAACTAGGCGTACATTTGGCGAAGACAGATAATTACCCATGGATCGATACCGAAGACCAACTGTTTTACCGCCTCGCATGCGGATCATCACCTAATTTTAGGCTTAGTGCAAGATGTTCTAGGACGGCAACGACAATACCCCTGAGCAGATGAATCATTACGATCGAGCCAATGGTATCAATATTTTACAATAAAAGCTTGAAAATAGGATCCTAGTTATGGTATCCATCGTTTATCTATGCTTCCGTCCGTATGCAGACCGAACCGCAGAAAAGATATTCAGCTTTTGCATTAGAATAATTTATCGAACTCTTTTAAAGGTAATCAACAGTTATACTTAATAGTACTTGTCCGAACTCGAAATCCTATGTCTGCACAAATATACATTTGCGGCACTAATGCCGCTGTCCTACTTTTAAATAAAGGTGCCAGAATTCGTAAGAAAGGATTGGCCGATTTGAAGGTTTAAGCAGGTGGACACTCCATGTTAGTGCTAAAGCACCGCTGTCCAAAAGGGCCAACTAGCATTTGATATGGTCCACCACCAACGAATCGACCTATGCACCTATAAAAAACCTTATTTAACAGATAGCATGTTGTTCAATCCATGCTTTACTGCCAGGAAAAAAGTGTTGTTGTAATGCTTCAATGGTTATCCCACGATAGACGTGTTACGTAGATAGGACATAGCGCGAACGATGCAGCGCTTTTTAAATCTATTATACTGCCCTTATTGTGTTCTATGAAACTCACCGTGATTTGGCTTGGTAGCATTATTACTGTCATATAACATGCCTTTGTCTCCGAGAGTCCTGCGCTCATAGTGTAGCCATAGTAACAGTTATCCTTGCACCATAAACCCTAAAGAACGCTGTTGCGTGGTTTATGGCTATAGCAACCTTCTCTCTTCATAGTAGATATAACATGCTATATAGATACTAATCTTTTGTTAAATCCAATAAAGGTTTACACTTACTTCGTCATCAGTAAACGCGTATAGTGTGAGTAGACCACCGACGAAACGAATGTTTGTCTCAAAGACGCTGATTTCTGTATCCTGAAATAATATATCGGAACAATTTACAAATATAGCACCGACTCAAGGTTTGTTGCCTATGAAAACAGTTTCATATCTTTGCTGCAAAGTAGACTAGCAATTGTACTGGAAATATTAAATTAAGAAGGAAAAATTGTATTATACTCTATTCATACCCCCAGTTGCATGTTATACCATGGTGATCGAATAATTTTCTTAAGTAATTATGTCACATATGCTAAACAGACGCAGTCACAAGTTACTTAACTACAACCTAGCTATGCTGTCCGCCATGGGTGGTTCACCTTAGTGTTCCTATTTTTCGTGAGCTTATCAATAGTGTAATTGCGATCAATTGTACTTACGAGATTTTTAATCTCTAAATTTTTTTCAATCCATTGTCGACCTTTGTCAAACTCCTCAACCATTCCCATAAGATATAAAGTGTCCATGCTATCCACGATGGTAGCACCTTGTTTTGACTCGCCGAAGATTCCAGCGCTGTGTCCCCGTCTTGTGATAGGCTTCAGTTCATTCTCACCCCACGCATACTTCACGTAGTTGTTCCAGGCGTGAGCCATCATCTGAAAATGACAATGCAATGGCCGTGATAATACTTAAAATAGCTTGACACCAGATAGGATACTCGCAGCGAAAATTGCCATGTCTTCTGCCCATTTTTGCTATTCCTCCCGCCAGACTTATATTCATTTAACCTGTTCTCCTTATTTAATAGGCAGGAATATGGTAATGAAATATGGTGACAGGATTATTTAAGCGGTATATCGAAATCTAATTTCTCTAAGTACATGCTCAATCCATCGGCGCTCGGCAAAGCCGTCAATAGCAATAGCTAGGCTAGCTAAATTTACTGGAACATTGAGCACGTGGCAATGAGTGTCTGAAACATCTCCAAGTATAATTTATTACAGCGTACTTATGTACTAGCTGAAAACTATGAGCTAGGTGATGAAAATGAAATAGCGGTTCCCGACGGTATTACGCCGAGCCGAAACGGTACTCTCAGTCAATTAATTCAGCTAACCGTTATCATTGCATCAAAAGCCAGCAACACACCTTGACAGATGTTCCGTACGCTGTTTACCAATAGATTGTCATTGTTTCCAGCGTGCAGATTCAATGACACAAGGCTGCGTCCGTGCAGAATACAGATGGTGGTATATATTTAATACATTCTCCCGTTAGTTTTTCAAGACTCTACGCTCTGTATGACTTTGTTTAGCAGTAATTGAACCTTTATCTAATGAGACATCTAGGGCTCGTTACCCTACACACATCTGAATGGAGCAGCCTTGGATACGGCCACAATACGACGATTCTCTAAACCGTGTCGTTTATCCACTTGTTAGGTAACAGGCACGCAGCACGATGGTGTTTTAAATAGGGTTTGTAATCTTCATGTATCTTATCGCTAATGTAATGTAACAACTTTAGAAATATGCATTCTATGCGAATTCTTTTTTATTGTGGACACCTTTATCCATTCACTTCCGTGGACGTTAAACACACACCTTCACCGCCACCCAAATGTCTGTTTGGCCTAATAGTCTGTGTAATTCCTCAACGCTCGCTTATGACTTGCAGACTGTAAGGAGTTAGCTAGTAGCTATTAACGAGCTTTTTTATTGCTGGACAATTTAATGAGAAGGCTTTCTACATAATGATACGCCGATTGAGACAAAAAGCACATGTATACCTAGCCTAATTTTCGTTTGGCGCACTTGCTCAGCTACTGAATCCGCCTATCCTTCAGTACATACAAATTAGCTCATTCGTAAAATATGGTTTGGTGGATCCAGCACATCATCATTACTGAGTCGTCTCGAAACAAAAGTACTACTTCAAGATCTCATCGTTCCAAATCAAATTACTAACGAGGAAATAAACTTTATGTTAAGGCACGGTCTCCATATATCCCTACATTTCTGCACACTAATTTAAAACCAAACGTGCATATCCGTATGTGTATTACTGGGCAATACAATGGTAACTAGAACGACTACCTAATAACTACTCAAATCGAAGACGCGTTTTACCTTAAAATAATGGATAGAATAGTTCTCTCATTAACTGACAGACTGTCAGCAATCCAGTGTTTCTAATGCTTCTTAACATCCTAACGAATTAAAAGCAAAAAACTAGAGAGGCACTCAGTAGAATCCAGTGTTTTTTTTTAAAATGTTTTTCCCGAAATATTCGTGTATTTTATTACGTGAGGCCTCGAAGATTTTAAATTATCCTATCGTAACAACTTTCACTTTAATCGAATATAACCAAAAGTATGTCCCATACAACAGCCGTGCAAGACTGCAGATTGTTAGATACGAGATAGCACTATTATGTATCATTTAGAAATATAGTAAACAATTTATTATGCAATTATATCAGAGTTGAAAATATCGCATACATTTCGGAAAAAATAGTTCCTCAGGTTGAATCAAATGCTTTTACATTTATAGTAATCATTATCATTGATGGCCCGCTAGATGAAGTTTAACTTCAACCTCTGACTTCAGGTGCAAATCGAACCACAAACGAAAACAGAAAATATATTTTTGTTTAAATGAAATCAAACATTTAGATTCAATAAGCAATTCCAACCTGCGTTCTAGGTACGAAATTTCTCAGGAGCAGCTTTCATTCATCAACGTTTCATTTCATCATCAACGTCATCCTTTCTGGCCAATGGTGTCTTGTATTATGTCTTTCCTCATCCTTCTAAGTTAGCCAGTTCCTATTCTCGGCGAACGCTAACGCTCAGTAAACAAGCCATTGAAAGCATAGGAACGACTCGATAGAATCAGCGTCCTTTCGCATTATCTTATGGATTTTTTCTCTGATTGCGTCACTGGCATGGTTTCATCATATGAAACAGCCGGTTAAAGAATCGAAAAAGGTTTTTTTTAGCTTGCATAACAATGCCAAGTTTAGAATCGTACAAATTAAGGACACTGATTAAGGACGCCAACGTAATTTACCTTTGCTATGCATATGTCGGACACTAATATTATAGTGTATCGAGGATTAGAACATCCGGCCCTAGCCGTTCACGCAGTAAGCCATCATCGATGATAACTGTAACTCAACAAGATGATGATCGTAACACTCAAGCTTGTAACAGCACCTCGACATCAGATTTCGATTGAGATTTTGCCAGAGACCACGGTCGACAGGAAGAAACAGGAACTCTAATTAGACTACTTGCACTTCAGAGAAAAACAGTAACAGAGAACAGGGAACGGTGGGCAGCAAGCAGAGTGTTGCTTATCGGCAAAACAATACGGCACGATTTATAGACACTTCCAAAAATTCAATTAAAGGTAGAATAAACGTAGTCAGACTTTGAAATTTGTAAAGGCTGAAATAATGTCGGGGACTGATTGTCCAGCAATACTGCCCTTATTCTTAAAGCAATATCCGATATGTCAATGTTCTGCAGACGACGGTTTATTACCATAACCTATGAAGCGCTTCCCGCAATCCTGCATAACCAGCCATAGAGGAAATTTTTAAAATAAACTCGAGAGTTGCACATAATGGCTACAAATCACGATGAAAACCTAACATTAAAGCTCTTTGTACTGCTTTATGCTAGTAATACAGTTTTGCCAGCAAAAAGGTGCCACCAGGTATTAGAGGTGTAGTAGGAAGGTGGGAGAAGAAGTGTAAAAACATAGATCCGAGGATATGAAATATAATACATCCATGGATTCAGATACTTACTTTTCAGATAGAAATAAATAATAATGACGTAAAACGAACATATAGAACAAAAGAAGCAGACAAACATGAATAAATAAACGAGCAAAAACCGGGCTCAGGTAGACATATGCAAATGTATCTTTATATCAACAAAGACATAATGAAACGGATGCAACAGTAACATTACACGCGAATACATCAATATATCAGGCATACACTCAGATCTAAAGGGCAAATAGCAGGTTCTCAGACATTGCAGTATGCATAAAGGTACGCACTTAGAAACCTACATGAGCGCGCGGCTTAATTTTTAGAAGAGCTTCTGCTATGTCACATTTTTGGACGCTCGAGGCGCTAGCCAAGGGTAAATACGACGTAACCACCTTTGAAGAGTTCACAAAAAAGCACTTGGCAATTGATCGGCTGTTATTTCCAGAGCGGAGGCAGTACATTCAGCGAATGGCAGCAGACGGGCCAGTTTTAGTTGAAGATTAGATGGCCGATGATTAAATGTTTGCAATCGTTGAGACTCTTCGTATTAAACTAAGCAGCATGTAAGAAGACCCATCGGTGAAGCATCATAACTTGAATGGGGGACCGCAATTGTCTGACAAATACACGCAAACATACGATTGAATATTTCGACTTATCGGTCGACCTAGTCACAGGGAACTATCGCCTTGACCATACGAAGCCGCCGGAAGGAGAGACTCTAGCGATGCATTTGTACCCGTAAATTATACATAGAAATCTATTTTTTTAAATATATGATCCAAAAAAAGGGCATGTCGCGTATACGCGACTGATTAGGCCCTTACAGCGGCTGCGGATTTAATGAAGTACTACAGAGATTAGTGGAACTTTCAAAACCAACGGTCGGATAACGTTTTAGATACAGCTATCCTTGACGATCGTCCTACTCATGGATGATTTCTCCATTTCAGATCTTATACTGGATAAGACCAGCATATGATAAAATTAGTTATCAACGATAAAACAGCCTAAACATTGTGAAATATTACGCTCTTTAGAAAAAAGAACTAATTTCTGAAAACAGGATTCAACCCGTCATCAAAGCCTAACACGCAGGGGCCTAGCCCAAGGTGAAGTCCTAGCAACCTAGAAAGAAAGAGCATAAAGTAACTATTTTACGTAAGCCGTCTACAGACCAATTCACACCGATAGGCAAACTTTGTAGCGGACTATAACTCGCAGCCTTCACCTCGTACACGATTTTGTCATTTGTCTGCTCGGACTCTGTGATAAAGACAGCGAGGTAGACCCGTAAACCCCTGTATCGGTAAGCCCACATGACAAGCCTCGCTACCTGAAATACTTCTCCCCCACTCAGCTAAAAAACACTACACGAGCTCCTTAGATCGCTTAAGTGGATATCATTTAAAAACGTAACTACTTACATATAGTTGAATGCTACAAAAAGTGATGACCTTCATAAATTTACTTGTTTATGCAGCACCCCACGCATAAATGTTCTCCTTGCTGAAGATCAGTTTAGCTCATGCAAGGGTTTTAAAAACGAGAGCAGTAGCACCCACTCCTCAAATTATTGGGTCTGAATCGGGGAAGTAGGATTAGCTTCTCGTAGCTGGGCCAGAGCTCCAGTGCTCTAATGCTTAAACAGTGAGCGGATAGGATGTAGATACAGAGCATCGTATCTAAAAAACAGAGCCTTCAAAGTTTTTTGAAGTCACAAAGCAGTTTACCAATTGCTACCAACTAACTTGAACAAACTAACAAAATACATATAGACCTAATTGTTTTCTGACAAAACATTCGATTAATTTGCTTGGCTAAGAAACGACGTAGTCATAAAATCCAGTTGAGCGAGCACCGAAATCTC